ATTCAGAGGGATCACAAAAAGAAGGCCGTACAACTTTGCTTCAATAACCTTCTACCACTCCCTTACATCGAGTTGGTGGAGTTTCTTCTAGTTCATGCACCTGAGGTCGAGGCCGGGGACGCGGACGAGCAAAGATCAATCTAATTGTTGAACGGACTAGGCCAACTATCAGCATTGGTGATGAAGACATTTCTAAAGATGAGATAATGATGACAAAACAGAACAAACCTCAGTACGAGATATCTCTAGAAGATACAGAGAGGAATGAATATGAAACAATGTACGATCGGATAAACCACTATGTGGGTACTAGGACCCTCACTCCGATTCTCCCTCTAAAGGTCGAGAGTTTAGAGGTCAGGGAAGTCCGTAGTGTTGGTTCAAAGCTGATTAAATTTTATCGCGCTTCTACCTCTACTGAGCTTGAAAAACATGTAAGTTTGGATGCTGATACTAATGAATTAATGGAATTGCCTTTTGGTTACTTCTCAACTTGTGTTCAAAAGTTAATTCAACAGGGACATTTACCAAAACAAATGCCAAAGGATAAATTTCAACTCTTTGAAAAATTGTGGAATACTAAAAGACGAACTCCCAATTCAAAAGAAGGTCTCGGATTTGGTACAGTTGGACCAGTCGACGATTCTGAATTTTGCATGGTTGTTACTAGTAAGTCAGAAGAGGATTGTCTCGATATAGAGGATGACTCTGCTGATCAATCAATAGAGGATGCTCCGCCAGAATTTGAGGAAGAAATTAAATCCACTATCAATGAAGTGAAAGAGATTAACCTCGGGACTAAAGAACGACCCTGACCCACATTTATAAGTTCTCTACTTAATGATGAAGAATTTGCAGAACTGGTCAAACTATTAGCAGAATTCAAAGATTGCTTCACGTGGAGCTATGGTAAAATTCCAGGTTTGTCAGCAGAGGTTGCAGTCCATAAATTTGGGGTGGACAAGAATGTAGCCCCAGTAAAACAAGCTCCCAGGAGAATGCGCCTTGAAATAGAACAACAAGTCATCGCCGAGGTAAAGAAATTGATAGATGCCAGTTTCGTTAAAGAAGAGTAGTACCCCACGTGGTTAGCCAATATTGTACCTGTTAAAAAGAAAAATGGACAGATCCGTGTTTGCGTCGACTCAGAGACTTGAACAAGGCATGTCCAAAAGACGAGTTTCCACTACCTATACCAGAAATGATGGTGGATATCACTTCAACACACGAAATTTTCTCCTTCATAGACGGATTGTCTGGGTACAACCAAATCAAGATGGCTCCCGAGGATGCAGCGCTTACAGCTTTCAGAACACCGATTGGAATCTTCTGCTACACAGTGATGTCGTTCGGCCTAAAGAACGCCGGAGCAGCATATCAGCGTGCAATGACGAAGATCTTTGACGACCTCATTCACAATCAAGTAGAATGTTATGTGGATGATCTTGTCATCAAAAGTAAACGGAAAATAGACCATTTGTACGATTTGAGGATTGTGTTTGAACGGTTACGATGATATGACCTTAAAATGAATCCCTTAAAGTGCGCTTTCGGCGTCACCTCCGAGAAA